TGATGATATTAAAAACTGTTCCTGCCGAAGTAATAGTTAGAATAAACTACAACAATCAACCCCAAAACCGAACAAATAGCATTAATTAAATTCTCAAACCAAAACAAAACTATTAAATAAGTGATATAAACAAATTTTTACTACGTTAATAAAAGCACCGATTAAAAATAAATAAATAAATAAAATAAGAAACAAAAAATAAAAATAAATAAAAAACAATCAAAATAATTTAACCCAAATAAATAAATAAACGACTTCCGGTAAAATAACCGCCATAATAGTCTACCCACAATGCCCCACTAGCCCGTATATATATATAAATAGCCGAGAAAAATAACAGCACACGTGACCTGACGATTGCATATAGCATGAAACAGACTGTCGCCTCTAAGTGTTGACTTCTATGTTCACTTTTATATATATATATATATATATATATATATATATATATATATTTAAATTTGAAAAATTGACATCATTTTCAACCTTAGGATCCTTTCGGACAATGCTTTTTCAAAGGCAATCGTTGGCGGAATATAAAACAATCAAGACATATGGATAATAATGAATGCGGTGGGAAAGTTGGAACGTGATTAAAATGAAATTTAATTCTAAATAATTAAAGAATATAAATAACTAACACGTTCCATAAGAGTATAAAAGTGGGAAAAAGGAACTCACAGTCCCTCGATCAATCTTAAGGAGCGCATGAAAGGCTCCTTTTGTCTACATAGGCTCACCTGGTAAAATTTTATGTACACATCCTCAAGGACTTGGAGGAGGTAAACTGAGGGTGCACTATATAGAATAGAAAATGTTATAGTGGAACACACCTATTCTATAGTTAATAGACTCTCCCACATTTAATAAGTAGGAGTAGTAGTAGCAGTCGCTCGAGGTGGGTCAGTCAGTCGATGTCGGACGGCCGTTAGTCGGATATTAAAGTATCAGCCACCCCAACTAGATTACTGCGTCATTACCTATTATATCAAGTTCCTAACGTTTTGTACGTCGAACATATTTTAGGACCGACTTAGTACAAATACAAGCCTCCACTGTGAAACTACTACATAACAGAAAACCATATGTCCTTATATTCAGCATCATAATCAGGACTGTCCAGCAAATTCTGCCCAATCTATGAATCGTGGACTGCTTGAGTAGTTCTTAAAACTTGGCTTCGACTGCCTGAATGTAAAGAGGGGGGAACATGTTGCGAATGAGATTAGTTCGTCCTATGTGCACCGCTTCACAACGATATTTGAATTTATAACCAACTAAAATTTTCGGAAAATTGGAAAAACAATTCTTACTCAAGGAAGGGAACGCAGATTTTGTTTGAAACGCAGTGCACAACTTAATGCCATTGTTGCATGAAGCAACACAAGCTAGAATTCTGTCTGACAGCAGTTGACACTTTCTGCCAAGCCAAGGCAACTTTAAATAGAGAAGCGATTGGGTCCTAAAAACACTGGTTCTTTAAAACGTTTGATTTTACTATCTATAATGCTTTTGATGACATTGGTGGGATATCCATTACTTTCAAAATCTTTCTGGATATTAGCATGATCTTCGTCTGACATAGAAGAACCCATCATCAAAGTACGATAAACCAGGATCGAAATTAGACTAATTTTTCGGGCCTTGAGAACGAACGAGTTCCCTCGTGTGTATTAACATCTGAATAAAAAAAAAATCCTTGCGCTCATGAAAACATTCAAAAAGGGCAATGTCCCTTCACTCTTAACCTTCATAGTGAACTGAAGAGATGGCTGGAGAGAACTGGGTTCCGAAAAACAAATCAGTGGCATCACTGGCGGAATCGAAAATTGAAAATCGGTTATCAACATACCTCTTTTAAAGGTAGGGTTTATGGACCTTGTCAAACAAAAGTCGCTCATAGTAACCTACGAACATATTGGCCAATTTAGGGCTAAAAGGACTACCCATAGCAGCACCGTCAGTCTGGCCATACATAATATCATTAGAACTTCAGTAGACCGAAGCATGCATTCTAAAAACATATTTTCAGGAATGCTACTCGGACCCAAATTACCTCTATAGACAACATCAGCACATATTTGAATTGTCTTATGAAGAGGCACATTAGTATAGAAACTGACGATGTCAAAAGACACCATCAGTTTATTTTCAGATTCAATCTCTAAATTTCTAATGAAATTTGAAAAATGAAAATAGTTTGAGATATGGTATACAGAGAAGATATCAGATTCCGGCTGGGGTATTTCTGCCAACCATTTAGCCAACTCGTGTTACACAGATTACACCATAGAGAGGATGGGTCTAAGTGGTACTATGTTTTTATGTACCTTAGGCAGTCCATATATTCTAGGACGTTGAGACCTTTCAGGTATAACCCTCTTATATATCTCCTTAGAGATAAGGTTGTTCTTGCATACTGAGAGCAACCATCCCTATATTCTTGCTTCAACCCTGCTGGTATTCTCACACGTACTAGCAGGACCTATCCTCTTAAATTGAGGAATCATTTAAGATAATTGTCATTTTATCTAAAAAATATTGCTTGTTTAAGATGACAACGGCGGAACCTTTATCAGGCTTAGTAATATACGCATCGTCCCTTGCCTTTAACGCTATTATATTCCGAAAATGAACAAGCCAAGAAAAAATCCCGCTCAATAGTGAGCGAAGCGTATGCATTAGACAATTCAAGAAGTCTAGCCTTAATAGCTGTTAACAGAAGAAGGAATATGTTTCATTGACTGAGAATACATAATCTCAAACTCAGAGAAAATCTGTTGCTTACAAATTTTAGAAGGTTGAATGCAGAAATCAAGTCCGCGAGAGAGAACCATCTGTTGAATCTCAGTCAGAGCGACGTTGGAAAAATTGAAAATATGTTTACTAGAATTTCTATCGTCAACACCGAACCTTCTAGACGGCTGGGAATTTCCAGAAACGGTGATCAACCCATCCAAAAGACACGCGTTAATACTGGGAATGTTGAAAGTGCAAAGAAAACTGGAAGACAAAGTTAAACAAGAGACATGAAAGAAAATCTCCGATATTACCAGCCAAACACGAACGTATCAGAAGACTAAAGTAAAAAAAATAGCTTACATTGAATGCTGGAAAGAGGCAAAAAGTAATCATTTAGTGATGAATGCAAAACAAAGTTTTATTCCAATACAAGAGAATATGTAAGGAGATCAGTGCAAGATAGAAATAATGCAAAATACACCACAAAGTCAGTATAATTGGGTTGAGAATCAAAAGTGATGGTAGAAGAAAATTAATGAAAGTTGATGGAATCCTAAACAACGAAAACTATATTGGTTTAGTACAGTCTAATCTTCTGTCTGTCTACGAAAATGGTAATTTTTTTTCAAAATTACGGTGCTCCTTTCCATACATAGTTACACGAAAAAAAGTTTCTTGCGGATGAAAATCTACGACTTTTGAAAGGATGACCAGCACAAAGTCCTGATCTTAATACAATTGAAGCTGGGAACTGCAGAAAAATGTGCTCCAGCGAAAACCGAACAATCTGCATACGCTATGGGATTATTACCAACACGTATAGAAAAAAATTCTCTTTGAGAAAATCTTGTTCCATTCATTTTCGCATCGAACTGAGGAAATTATCCGAGCCAAAGGCAGCAACACTAATAACTAACTCCATTGTATTACGTTTTGTATTTTCTGCAATAATAAATATCATATTTTGTAAAATAATTCGTTTTTAATTTAAGAAAAGACCTGAAATGTAAACGTTTTCGCAGGTGTTTGGCTCAGCCTATTTATTTTTGTTACCATTAGAGAGTAGAATGGATATTATACTTTGATCGTCGCAGCTAGTTGGTCGGAGAGAGAGAGAGAGAGAGAGAGAGAGAGAGAGAGAGAGAGAGAAAGAGAGAGGTGGGGGAAGAAGAAGCTGAGCTGATCAGTTAATGCCAACCGTTTCTTTATAAAAGAACAAGTAATATTACCATTAACATTAGAGATGATGCGAACTGATACTACACATTAATCTAAACCCGTTGGCCAAGGTATGGCGAAAAGCGTAACTTGAGTAGCATTGCTTCTCATTCAATTTATGCCGAATGTTTCCTTATAAGGAAACGGCTATTGTTACCATAACGATAGGCATGAACAGTTGAATAAGAAGAAGTTATTCGGTGTAATAACTGTAATATTCGGTTCTCACTAGGAAAATTTAAGCTGGAAGAGGGGTTCCCTATCGTGAACAGCGGAATGAAAATACTCTCCCCGCGGCTGGATTGAACAAGGTTTTCGCTACAAAAGTCTTGGATGGATACTGAATACGATAAATACGTAAAATGGTTGAAATGTTCAGACAATAACACAATGAAGATGAAATTACGTGTCGGGATAGATTAATAAACAATCATGTCGCATCTTTGTCAATCAATCATAAATCCTAATGGTTCTTTTAATCAGTTTTTATTTCGGTTTGGATTGTGGAGATTCGTTGACAAAAGACTAAAACAAAGGTGTGAAAGAAAGGGAGAAAAAGAATGGATGAAAGAGTTGAAGAAAGAGTGATCTGACAGACAGAAATAGAGTGTAAAAGAACAGAAGAAAAAGAGAAGAGAAAGCAAAAAAGAAATGCTGCCCTGAATGACAGCAAGAGAGGGAGTAAGTAGGAAAAGATTAAGATAATGGGAAGAAAAAGAAAGAAGGAAAAACGAACAGGGTCTTATAAAGCAAAAAAGAAATAAAAATAAAATAGCAAAGAGAAACAAATAAAGAAAGAAATCATAGAGAAAAGAAACAAAGAGACAAAGAAAAAATATTAAAACGAAAGAAAGAAAAAAAAGAAATAGTGACTTGATAGAAAGACAGTCTAAAAGAACAAATAGAAAAAAGAATACGAAGAATAAAAGAAAGAAAGACATGATAGATAAAGGGACGGGGGGTAACAAATAAAGGGATAAAGAGAAAAAAAAACAAAAAGGACCGAAAGAAACAAATAAAGAAAGAAAGCAAAAAAGCGATTAAAAAGGAAAGAAAGAAAAGGAGGGGAGAAAGAGATTAAAAAAGAAAGAAAAATAAAGAAAGAAAGATATTAAAGAAAGAAAGAAAGAAAGGTTAAAAAAGATAGAAAGAAAGAAAGAGAAAAAATAAAAGAAAGAAAGAAAAATATTATAAAGAGTCATGAAAGAATGGAAAATGAATGAAGAGAAGAAACATTTGAAAGACTAATAATTAATAATTTAAAAAAAACCTGTAAGAATGTTTGGAGAAAAAGTAAGAAATATCTGAAAGACAAAAAAAAACTGCAGAAAGAAAGAAACGGAGAAAGATAAATGGAAGAGAATAGAAAGAAAGAAGAAAAATCGCATGAAAGAAAGAAAAACCTGATGAATGAGATTCTGAATGAAAAAGAGAAAAATAAAATGTAGCAAAACAAAAAATTAAAACAAAAATAAAAAAAACCTTAAAGAAGAAAAAGACAATAAAAAAGAAGAGAAAAAATAAAAGAACGACTCGAATGTAATAGAGAAAGAGCTAAAGTTAAAGAAAATTCAAATGAAAGAATTAAACAAGAGAAAAATGTCTTAAGGTAAGAAATAAAAAAGCAAGAAAACTATGGATGAATGAAGGAATGAAAATTATAAACGGAAGGAAAACATCTGGAAGAAAAAAAATATATCTGAAAATTGGAAAAAAAAAACTTAAAAGAAAGATCTGAACAAAAGAAGGAAACAAACAAATATTTGAAAGCAAAAAGAGAGACTGAAAGAAAGATAGTGCGTAGGGTAAAGAGAAGAAAAAGAAAGAAAGAACAAGGAAGAAAGAAGAAAGAAAAAAGAAGTGGGGAAAATAATATCAGGAATTGAAAGATAGAGAGTCAGAACAAAATAAAGTAATAAAGATGAAAACTCAAAAGTAAAAAGAAAGTGAAAAGATAGAAAAAGAAAATATGAAAGAGAAAAAATGAACGAATAAAAAATGGCAGAAAAGATATCGAGAAAAGTAATTATTAAACATAAAGAAAAACCCGCAACTAAAGTCTAAAGAAAAGAAAGAATAAAAATATCAGTAGTAAATAATGAAAGAAAAAAAGACTAAGCAAATCTGAAATAAAGTATTTACACTATTTACATCAATCCGACTGTTGTCTTCAGCTTTACTGTCGTATTCACGACGTTTCGGCCGTTGTACGCTCCGGCCTTCTTCAGGTGATATGCATTGGAATATCATCGTGAATATGACAATAAAGATGTGGACAACAGTCCGAATAGTTTAAACAGTGACAACACCTCATCTTGACAGACAAAAGTTAAAGAAAGACTTGAACGATGGGAATGATAGAAAGAAAGTAATGTCAAAAAGAAAGAAAGAAAGAAAGAAAGAAAAGTCCTAAAGGAAGAAACAATAGGCAAGCTTTAACCTCATATTACAGCTTTCATTCACATGTGCGCTTAATCTTGTTTCCACGTTCCAAAAGATATCGGATTTAGAGATTTTAGTTTCAATGATGGCAGTAGAATCGATGGAACGGCTCAAGTCTTCTATATTTCGCAGAGCCTCTAAATCTGATTATTTGCAATCTCTGATCATTATCAATAAGTGATTGCATTACACGACTATGATAACTCACGGAAACTGGTACCTAATAGATTTAGAGTTGCAAGACACTCAGAAAGCTGAAAATTGTGGACATCGAAAATCTCAGAAATAATCGATTTACTTGCTTTATTATAATTTGACAAGAGCGAGAAAAAAAAGACGAAACCTCAACTGCAACAAGACAGAATTCATGGTTCTTAGCAAAAGGATGAAGCGAAAGTTTCGGAAATTTTAAAAATCTCGGAAGTGTTTCATCAGAGGACGGAAAATGTGGCACTGAAATCCGAAGACGTATCAGGATAGCCAGAGATACATTCCAAAAGTTAAACGGAGTACTAAGAAATAGAAAAAAAAACTTCGCTAGAAACAACAAAAAAAGAGTACTAAACTGTGATATCAGTGCTGGACAATCTCCTCAGCGATGAAGAGATTTGAAGTAACAGTTCTTGTAATTGTACTCGAAGGACTGCAATTATGAGTAACAAGACTTGGTCAAGCTGCGCAGTAAGGTGATTCTCAAAGCTAGAAGTCCTACCAGGATTCATTATTAGTGGCCATTATCTTAACAATATAACATATGCAGGTGACAAAGTATTGATAGAAGACACAGAAAGAAAACTAGAAAAACTCCGACAGAAGCGATAGAAATGATTAAACATCAACTACAGGAAGACAGATTGAATGTTTCTTAGCAAAAGATTGATCACAAAGTGCGAATTTCAAAATCGGGGATACCAAAATCAAACAAGTGCGGAAATTTAAAAATCTCGGAATTGTTTTATCAGAAGACGGAAAATGTGACACTGATATCCGAAGACGTATCAGCATAGCCAAAGATACCTTCCAAAAGCTAAGCAGAGTGCTAAGATAGAGGAAAAATCGCTTGAAACAAAGAAAAGGGTAGTAAATCTTGATATCTGTTCTCCTGTATGGCAATCCGTGATAGACAATATGTTAATAATGAATAGAGAGTTCAGTCTTTGTAGATGTCCCCATAAAACATTGGACATTAAATTATCGGTATGCAGCATAATCGACCTATCCATCCTAACTAGAATTCCAAATTCTCAGAAAAGAAAAAGTCTATCCTATAGTAACTGAAAACGTTAGCCGGATGTTTGAACAATAATATATATTTTAATTTCATAAAGGTTTCGTTGAAGACCAAGAAAAGCAAGATGACAACACGAATCGACGCGTGAAAACGCGATAAAAGAGAAAAAGACATGATATATGATGAAAATGACAAAGCATAAAACGAAAACTCAATTCTTTGATGATAGCTTATTCAATTAACAGACTTCAACCAAATTTGTATAAATGAAATATTGCTGCCTATGTATAGTTTCCAAAACCATAAAAATCTTTAAATCAGCAAAAGAGATCTGTAGAGACATGATCGTTCGCATCCTGAAAGCACGTGGCATATAAAGCAACGAAATGGCTAACTATATAAATATCTCAGTCAATAAGCTTCTGTCTGGGATGGATTGAGAAGGAGTGGAACAGCGAGTAGAGAGAGTAAGTTCTTTATGTTTTGTAGAATGCCCAAAGGTATTCAACCAATAATGCAATAGATGAACAGCAGTCCTAAAACCATTTGTCATTTCTTTTCGTTTGCAAATAAGAAAGTTCCAGCATACTAACTGGCATTTTTACTATGAGCAAAATTAACCAATGTCGGAACGAATATACATTCCCCATATACCATATATTTATTGCCTATATATGAAGTCACTTTCCACTTGGAAGATGAGCCCAACACACTCATACAATGATACTAAGATATACTTAGTCATGAGGATGACGATAAACTACATCCAGCAGCAAGACCTCTTATCGGGAGATTGGAACTTTTGAGGAGCGTGCAACCACCCCTTACCTGCTGTTGGTTAGTAGTACCTGTTGGGCTCTCAGCTATGATCAAATAGCGAACCTCACACGTTATGAAAGTATAAAAATTATTTATATATAAAAAATACCATCAATATATATATTTTTTTAGTAAAATAACCAATAATACATATTTATTGCATATATTTAGATGTAGCAATAACACTGTATTAAAAATATTTAGATTTTGGCATTAAAAAGCCATAGAGCTTGGTATGTCGCTCAAAAAAATTAATAATTAACATGAAAGAATTCTTTCATGATATTAATCCAAATAATTTCCTACAATTTCTTCAAAAAATCAAGCTGTATTCCAATATATAACTTCAGCAAAACTACAACATAAAACACATATCTAGTAATTATGTCTACACAAACATGCATATGGGAAAAAGCTGAGTATCATCTACCAAGTATTCACTTGTGAAAGCAGAATAACACATATTATATTTTTATGACTTTAAAGCTCTCAAGAAAATTAAATTTCGACAGTAAATGACGACACACAGTAATTTGATATGCCGTTAAACAAACAGAAATAAAACAAACCAACGTTTTTTGTGAGTTGGGGGCTTTCTCTCCAGTCGGGTGACAGATGACATATTCTAAGCCCCGCCAAGCGAAAAAGAATCAGACAATAAACCGTTTCGTGATTTTGTGACTTAAACAGAGAAAGCAGAATGGTGATTGACATGGAGTTGCTCACGGTCTTTCTACTCTGGCACTGATCTGGATCCTCATAATCTACATTACGTGCACCTTCAGTATGTGGGCGAGAAAAGTTTCCTACCCCATCTCTGTCACTCCCTGTTCGGACATCCATTTTCACAAGCATGTTAGGTAGATCAGTCGCATTTTTCCTCTGTCCTTCTTGTCTCCAATATGCCCTATGAGTGTTAAATTCTCCAACCCCCCTTGCTCATTGGTACACTAAAGTTTTCAACTCTCTCTTTTTTTTGTGATCAAGTAAGTTAAAATTAATTTTTCTGGGAATGCATGGCAAAATATTTTACTTAAGGATGCCATGAGGAGTTATGGCTCAGGCGGCTCGGGTTGAGGAATCCGAGAACCGTATTTAAATTCCAGTCGAGTTCATTACATTTACTTACGTGCTAACACTCTTGGGAAAGGTATAAGTCCAGCTCTTCTCCCCCATCTATGGGTAAAATAGCAAGACAAACTGGATCCCATCGCCAGTTTAGGAGAAGGAAATTCACAACCATCTTCTGCTTTGTAGGTCTTGTCTCTTTAGGCAAAGGCGAGAAGAAGGTGACTTCAAAAAGAGAGACGGGGTATCGTCAACATCTTCGGGTTCAAAAGGAACTTCATTGCACTATTCTGCCTTGAATGCCACCATAAGCCATAAATGTGGGATGGAGGGGAGTGGTGACAATAATGGCGGCGCACAATCCGCTATGAATAAAATGAATGATGAACGAAGAACACACAAAATATACCAAAACCCATGTAGTTTTATTTTAAAATACTTATCGAATACATTAGTCAATCAGAATAATTCGCTTCAGATTGGCCAATGAACTCAAATAAAAATTGTTTTATTACAATTCATTTGTTATGTTAATTGGTCAGGTTAACTGCGAGAAAATCCACGCATTTAAAACAGCATTACGAACCCAAGGAAAAAAGTTTATGCAAAGACAGTGGCATTATTAAAAGAATTTCAACTATTTCTTCAAATATTCATATCTCTTAGAAGTTCTTTCATCTACAGATATTTTCGCAAAAGGCTGCATTTTGTATTGTCATTTTTTATTCTGAAGAACATTTCAATAGATTCAAATTAATTTCTTCTATGGTGATTTTTTGACCGTGGCTTAGATGTTCCACAAAGCCAAATGTGTAGAGTTCTATTGAGTATCGAACTCACTACTCAGTAGTAATTCTTTTAGAGGGACAAGCTTTCTATTACAGTACGTCGAAGTACCCTAAAAGATTTTTTAAGCGTAGCTTAGATGTCGCACAAGGATAAAATTCTGGAGGAGCCAGTGAGGATGGAACTCACTACTACTTATCGCACTAGCGAGAAAATCTTGGTAACAATTACACCTTGTTTAAATGCTCTAAGATTTTGTAAGCGTAGCTTAGATGCGACACAAGGCCGAAAGTTTGGAGCATCCAATGAAAAACACTGGATTTACACTAATTACACTAATTGTAATTGAATGAGCAAAACATGCTCACTAACCATTACACCACGTTGAAGTGTTCGATTAATTTCTTTTATGAACAAATAGTCAATCGGCAAAAATACATTAATGCGCACGAATTCTTTTCATTGATATCAACGAAAATAATATCGCAAACATTTCTTATCTTGTAAAACCAATAAAACTTATTGATTTTTCTTGCACTTGCTTTTGACTTCTTGATTTCTTATGAGCTTTCTTTCTTTCCGTTTGATCTCTTAGTTTTCGCTTGCCAATTACGACCGCTTAACAGAACAGACAATGAAGGTAAATGTAAAAAGTGTTTTTTTCCTTTTTCTAATTCCAGGAACGAAAGCTCAAACATCGTATTGAATAATCTTTTACATGGATTAAAAATTGAAATGGATATTAACTCAAGAGATGAGACTCTCTAAGCAACAACACTGTCACGTTAGTGATTCTAGCATCCGACTTAAGGTGTCGACCACCATTTAATAAATCTAAAGATAAAAATATTTATTTATATACCGGAATTGAGATGGTTACAATTGAGCGATTGCGTAAACTTAAACTTAATTTTTACATTAATCATTGTCTTCATATCTAGTACGATGTTTAGCTAATTTAACTATCAGGTCATAAGTTCTGTCCGAATTTTAACTTTTTGTTAAAATGAACGAAATTTAAAGAGTATTTTATAATGTCTAATGGAGCTGAACATTATTTTTATGTTTAGATGCATTTAAACTGATCAAATATTATTTCAGAGAACAATAAAATTAAATTTTGTTTGATTAAAACCCTGCTAACATGGCAGCCCAAGAATTATTTGAGGCACATAATGCTTTATCAGTTCAAGAATTGAAACTCAGCAGCCGAAGCGGCTAGAAACATCACTCAATTTATGGAGAGGAATGTGTGAATGAAAGAACTTGCAGAAGATGGTTTGCAAAATTCAGAGGTGGAGATTTCACCCTTGAAGATGAAGATCGAACAGGACGTCTTGTTGAGTTTGATGAAAAGCTTCTTGAAGCAGCCCTTGAAGAAAATCCTGATTTATCAGTTGAAGAATTGGCAGTGGTTCTCAGTTCAAGCCATACAACTGTTCATCGTCATCTTCAACAACTTGGAAAAGGTCCTAAACTTGGAAAATGGGTGCCTCATGAATTGTCTGAAAACAATCTCAAATCCCGAGTTGACATCTGCTCATTCTCGCCAACTTGTTTCACCTTTTTTGGATAGACTTGTGACTGGCGACGTAAAATGGATCTTTTATCGATATGTTAAGCCTCGTAGACAGTGGCTTGGTAAAGGGGAAGGGCCCCAGCCACAGCCGAGAAGGGAACTTCATGGGCAAAATGTTCTTTCAATCTGGTGGGATCGCCAAGGAATTAATCCACTTTGAATTCTTACCACCTAATGCAACAATTAATGCTCAAATATACTGTCAGCAATTAGAGCGTTTGAACCAAGCTTTGAGGAAGAAAATACCTGCTCTAGTGAATCGAAAAGAGGTGATGCTTCATCTGGACAATGCGCGATCCCACACAGCAAGAATCACGTCACAAAAGATCGAAGAACTTGGCTGGGAGAAAATTCCTCATTCACCTTATTCTCCCGATCTTGCTCCTTCAGACTACCATTTGTTTCGTAGCTTACAGAATCATTTGGAAGAAACAGCTTTTGTAACACAGGAAGAGGATATTTGTGAGTTCTTCGAATCAAAGTCAAAAGAATTTTACAGTAATGGAATTAGTAAGCTTGTTTATAGATGGAAAGAAGTCATAGATAATCAGGGAAAATATATTGTTGATTGAATCTGTAATTAAATGTAACATTTGGTCACTTGTTTTCTTTATTCAAAATTCGGACAGAATTTATGGGATGGCCTGATACATATCAACACTTGTCGGGTGGCTTACAAAAGTGATGAAATGTAAGAGGGGCTTGAGGAAAGCAATGCACAACCAACCTGGCGAGTTTGAGCGATTGGATGGCGAAGCAGGATTTGGTAGAGACGGCAAAAAGACAAAAATTATTAAGAGCTACAAAGAACGTGTGGAGAGCCATGATCGACAACTTCTGGAAGGGACGGGACACATAGAAGAAAGCTGACAAGGATAATAATAAATTCTAATCATTTTCTCTGTACCGCGTCGGCTCAGTGTCTGTCGTGTGTAGCTCTTATTAGTTTTTCTCCCTTTGCTAAGAAACCCGCCCCACGTTGCATCACGTTGCTAAAAACACCCGTTCATGTTTACCGCTACAGAAGCCAAGTACTGGATCCAACCAACGCTTTTATTCAATGGGTCCACTGGATAAAAATGCTGGTCGGATTCAGTGACTTGACCCAAAGAGCTGTCAGTTCAATACCTGGCTAAAACAAAAACAAAAAAAAAAAACAGGGAGAGTTGAGTTAAAGGGAGTTAACTGAGATATCCAATAGAAAATAGCAGGGGGGAACTAGAACAATAAACACAGGTGAGCAAAATTAAATGTTCAATTCGAAATTCCAAACCCCTGAAGAAGGCTGGAGCGTAAATGACCGAAACCTCGTGAATATGGCAATACATATGAGGGCAACTGTCAGAACCGTGTAAATAATTCAAATCTATTACAATACCTCATCTCAAAAATACAGACAGATCTCTAAGTCTTGTTTGTTGATTATGTATTCCAGAAATGCCGACTGCCTTTTTCTGATTATAAGTATAAGCGAGCTTTTTCATCTGGTTTTTCCTTTGAAACAGGCTGCAGCCATGACATTCTCATTATTCTTCTGTAGAGCCATATCTTTCAAGCCTCATGCCTCCTCCTCAACTGTGATGGAATTTTTCACTATTCATTGCCATATAGGAGGATTGATATCAGCTAGCTTTTCAGCAGTCTGTTTCTAAAGAAATTTCTGTTTGTAATCGAATCAAAAAAAAAAAAAAGATTTCGGTTTATTCTAGTTAAAATGACTGGTACGGACCCGAATCTGGAAGCTTTCATTCAGAAAGAGGTCTCTCATTTTTTGACCGATAAAATCTTAACTCAGTGCACGGGATGCAATCAGTGTATTCCAAATTCCGCCGGAAAGGCCATTCTGAGACAAGGCGATGTTGCAATTAGCAATTGATTCATAGACCCGTGTTCAGTGTGCTTGTTTTGGCCACGGGTTCTCTTTCGTAATCTTCGTATTAATTTAATTTCCGAGGGCTTCCTACGTCTCGTCTTTATACTTGTCGAATAATTTATGATAACGTTTTTTATACTTGCTTGAACTGTTGTATAATTCTCTTCCAGTATCTATCTATCTATCTATCTATCTATCTATCTATCTATCTCCTTTTCATATCTATCTAGCTAGCTAACTAGCTTGCTAGCTAGCTAGCTTCAGTCTGCTTACCTTGATATTATTATATCCCATACTATCTATCTATCTATCTATCTATCTATCTATCTATCTATCTATCTCAATCCTGTTCATATCTATCTATCTATCTATCTATCTATCTATCTATCTATCTATCTATCTTGCTCTCTCTTTTCAGTCTTGTTACCTTCATATTACTCTATTTCTTATTATCT